TTTGACTACGTACATAATGTGGAGAAGACCTTTTGTAACCGAATAGAACAAGTATTATTTTTTGGTTATCTTCAAGGGCATCTCAAATACTAGCAGAGAGCGTCCGAATTTGATAACCATCGGGAAAAGATGTTTTACAATAAAAAATATAATACAAAAACGACTGAGCTTCTTGGTTAAACAACGGTAACTGGAGCGGTTAAATGCTGTATATTTGCAGGTGATTAGAACAGATAAACCAAAACCAGACATTTGCTGGAAATTCTTACTTGTGAGAAAATTGTTGGTCGAAACTCGAGCCTCCGAACGATCTTATCTCCATCGCGTTATTATGGCAACGGATGCACACCCGCAAAAAAAACCTTGAATAAAATCGTTACATTTCTGTGCATTTGAAAAACTTATAATGTTAAGCCCCCAACGGCTGATATTAAGTCCAGTCCAAGCTAGTAGCGTTAGTTTACGATTGCGATTAAAAGACACCGGGAAAGAAGACCTCCACTGCAAGAAACGAGTTAAATCATTGCAGTGTTTAACCTACCGTCAACTGTGGTAGATTTGACAGGTTGTTCTCATCTAATTTAGCAATGGGCTGGAAGCAGCTTCGTATGGGATCTTTAATGCCAGATCTGAGCCACAGTGGATTGATATGTCAATTCTAGAGTAGTTCTCTAACCGGCTTTTTAAGTTTTCACTTTGGTTATGATCGTCGATTTAACTTTCAGAGATTCGTTTCTTAACATGGATTATGGGGGGGGGGGGTATTTAGTAAGGTACGTGTTCGTTCTTGCCATCATTTTAATGTTCCCCCTCTAATATCAGTCCAGTCCTTAGAAAAACTGTAGGTCTAATTTCGGTGTATCTTTTTAATGTTCCTTTCAGGTGTATCTTTTTAATGTTCCTTTTGTATTTCTAATTTTATATTTGTTTGTGTGCACTTCATCGTATTTTCTTTTGTAATTAGGTGTAGTTAATCCCTTGTACCCCTTTTTATCCTTAATGTACCCAGCATATAATCTGTAATAGGACCAATCACCTGTTTTTCTTTGGTATATTCGTTTTTTGTTTTGAAACAAATAATCAATCAAATTGACTGAGGGGTTATAGGTCTACGGACTACAGTATTTTCTTTTGCTCTTGTTGCCCCTAGCCCATCTTGGTGATAAATATTTTCTCTTTATGTTTTCCTGGTTATTGATGTATAGGCCTATGTATTGTAGTCTTTGTCTATTGCATATTTGTATCCTTTATTTGGCTGAATAAATAATAATAAATGTCTGAAACATGACAAGCCAAATATTTTCCCCTTGTACTTGTTTGCACCTGAACACTAATCTGTAACCTAGTGACAATTTTTTTTCAATTCGTTTCTTTGAATATGATTTAGAGCCTCCTAGTGTGCTATCAAAGTTTCCCCGTATAGCGGGACAACTTTGCAAGATATCCGAATTTAATGAAATTGATATTATTTACAAAACTTGTACAATTATAACAGTTATGATATTTATAACCATGGAAGAATAGCAATATAATTGTTTAGGAAATGACTTTCATGGAATTAATTTTATTATAGTAATAATTATTATCAGTAATACCGGTAGTAGGTCTATACAGGGTAAGGCTTCTGCCCGTTACCAAGGGTAATAATTAAGGTGACCCCAGTTTATGATATGTTTTCTGTAAGATGTTCTGCTCGAGAGTAAATTTTCTGTCACGGACCTAATACAACTCCCATAAAGTCAATATGTTATAGTCTCCTTCGAGACGCTATTGTGGATAGCCTCACTCCGGCGTCGTGTGCCGTTTGTTCCACAAAAGTGCGCCCTCACACGATATATTTTGAACAGCTTGCATTGGCAAGTGTAACAATTCCTTCGATTCAAGTGTTTTTCCATAGCCTATCCAAACATGTTGATTAGTGTGATGACGTCAGCTGATAACAATTGACCAACCAACAGCTTTGGCCACTTGGTACTTGGTACCAAACATTCTTTTGGTCGGTATATATCCAATTAAAACACTTTTTAAAACACAGTGCAAACGTTAGAGGGCGTTGTACTTACTTTTGGGGCAAATTTCATTTTTTTATCCTGTTTTTGTTCCAAAGTTTGTATTTTCTACCACAATGAGCCCTATAAAGTACTTATGGTTGTGGGGTTTTTTTGCATTTCTTTATGCACAAAATGTTAACGAGGTACCCCAGAACAAAGACAATAGTGCAGACTGCAGAGAAGTGAACTTTAAAAGCAGTATGCGCAAATGGAGGCCATTTTGGAGTTGGTCACGAGACTATGAACTGTAGTCTAATGTGGAAACCTTGTGTGGATACTTGGTTCCACGAGAGAAAACATGGTTTTCACCAACGAAAATCACTTATTTTCATGTGCTTACACACAATAACCAAGCTTTAACATTACTGTAGTTTTAAATTGCTTGCCATGCTAACCAAGGACATTCTCCGGAATTTGAGTACCAATATAATGAATTAGGGCAGTTTGGGATACTGCACGTATTAACAGTCAGACAGCGCGAGGCCCTTGGCTATTTATATACATGGCGCGCGACGCACATATCGCCCTCTATAGTCAGACCAAGCCTGGGTATCGTGGGGAAAGACACTGACTGTAAGAGAGACTTCAAAACTGTTTGACTAAACCTAACTTGGACTTACGTAAGTAATTCATGAATTATTGTTAAAATATTACACCGTTACAAGTTTGGAGAAGTCACCAATTTTCATGCCGATCGGCAAAAGCGTTTCGGAGCTATTACAAGACGTTTGTGCTCCTTCACGGTCCTAATAGGGTTCATCACGACTGTAATAATTGACCAAAACCTCATTGGGCTGGGCTTCAGAATCGGTCTATGCCTTTGATGATAAAGGCATGATATTTTGCATAGTTTTAGCTTATTCATGTTATACAATACTAAGATGTTCAGCTAAAGGGCCTAATTCGCAGCTTTGCCTTGTAAAAAAAAACTTACCCGTCATTTTCTCAAATTGCCAGCTTCAGCTGTTTAGGTGCCTTTGATATGGTCAATTAAGTCCACTGTAGCGAGAGGAGACCTGGTTAATCAGCGATGCACCACACAACATGGTTTAAAACCCTACATTTGTAGAAAAAGTCCTTTGACAAAAGTGACCACCTTCCCAATATGGACGCCAAAGACATTATGTCTTACTGTCTAGGTCAAAATGTATAAAATAAAGCTCTTGGAGAAGCCCAAGCCCAGAGTGCTTAATAATAATATAGTGCTTATATGGCGCTTTATACCAAAGGTCTCAAAGCGCTTCACAATTATTACCCCTGTTCATCAGGCCATGAGACCAGTTTCTGCAGCAGCTGTGACAGGATATACTTTTGCCCGCGCTCTCTTGACCCTAGACCCGCGGCCAAAACCGCCTACAGCCGGGACCGCGAGTTTATTAAAACTCCAGATAAACTCTGATGAGTGGCTCCTCAATAGTTCGTGGTTGTCTTTGACCGAGACTGGTCGTGCGACAGTCTACTAAACATGCGCTTTACGAAGCAGTCGTGGAACTGTCGCACGGGTGAAATACGCACGCGCGAACATCTCCTAGCTAGCTACACATTAGTCTAGTTCCCAGACCAAAACAATTGTGACTATTTCTGATGAATCCATCATTTGCATGTGCAAGAATGTTGAACACGTATGCAAATGAGGAGTGGTCTGGTGCCTGCATGTGCGTTACATTGAAATTCAATAACGATGTTGTGCATCAAGTATACTTTCAGATCGTACGAGGGGCGAGCTCTGCTGCGTCATGTACTATTTCGATTCTGACGACGGTTACTTGGATTTACTAAAACTTGGCGTGGTCTCCATTTCGGCTTCACCAGCTAACATTGCTATTTGGATCCCTAACTTTGAAGTTTCTCCGAAGATTTTATGATCGCGAGGTGCATACTGCAACGGATAAATTCGGCAACTGAATATGTATGAGGTATACTAAAACAAGTATTACATGGTTTATTTCGGGGGGATAGTCGATATTAGCTCCCCTCAGTATTGAAAGTTGACAAACTAGGATGTCAACTTCCAATACCTGGGGGAGCTAATATCGACTGTCCACCCTCAAATCATTTCATATTGTATACTGACTCACTGGTAGTGTTGCGCATGTCTACGTGTGGATTGTGAACGTTCAATCAACAAAACGGTACTGGCACCGGAGTCCAAATTTCATGTGACACTGGAAAATTGATTCGGACCAGCGAGCCGGTCCTCATCAACCGTTTGAAACCGGCCACGTGACGGGCTCTCGACCAATAGGAATGGGTGAACTGTCAGGTATTTGAATTATTTTTGAAAGCATCTTGATGTTTGTAACAGCTCGTCAATTGAAGGGAGTGAAACAAATGCCACGCCTCTGACGGAGAGGGTAGCTCTCCCCTATGTTGCACAAGGGACAGGGAACCCCCCCCCCCCTCCCGGACGAAAATTTGTTGTTGTATTTTTAGAGAGGAAAGAAACGGATGACAGCATAGCAGCACCTCAAATCCGGAAGTTGTTATAGCCAATCCTGCTTTAAAGATAAAATGTTTACGACTGAAAAACAAATAGACCACCTATTATTTAATACTGTGGCGCAATAGCAGTTTGGTGTTAGCCAGGGGCTATCGTAGCTATAAAATAGCTATTTGCCGCGTGGGTATAAAAGCGCGAGCGCGCGCTCAGTGCGGCAGTTCCTCAGTTCCTCAGTTCCTGAGCAGTTCCAGCCCCGTACGGCCGTACCCGAGTTAGACACGGGTGACCAGTAGTGCGTCGCAGTTGCTGAGCGTGTTTATTCAGTCCCTCGCCCGTGCAGATTAGTGGTAGTAGGCAGCTGTGTCCGTAAGTGAGGTTCTTACTGGGATAAGTAGCGGGGGCTTGTTCGGTCAGTTGAAGAGGGGAGGAACTCCGTCCACCGGAATAAGTAGCGAGGCCGTAGTGGTGAGTGGACGTTAACCTAGTGGGGATGATTTATATCTGTACAGGGAACTTGCTGACCAACACCTGTCAAGGCCTAGAGATGATTTGCAGTCTGCCTGAGTAGATTATAATAAAGGAATGTTCACCTAAAGAGAAGAGTCCTGTGTTTGATTTAGAGGTACCCCGTTTTCCTTCCCCTGCCCTGTTCCCCTGCTGCGCCTGGCGGTAGACTGCCCCAAAATGGGCCTGCTCCCTTGGCCTTCTCAGAATTGACCGCTCGCTGACGTCGGCCGAGGACGACTCGGGGTGGCTGTCGGCACGACCGCCACAACTGGTGTCAGAAGTGGGATAGGCGTCGTAGGTAGAACAACTAGTACTTAGACATGAATCAGCACTCGATGGAAGGAAGGGGACTGCTGCCGATGGATGACGTGATGGTAGGTGCCGAAGGAGAATCCGCGGAACTTCAGAGCTACAGGGAGGAAACACGTCGGTTGGGAGATTTGGTATTGCAGCTACAGGCGGAGGTGCGTGAGCTGAGAGTTGCGGGAACTGAGGAACATAGGCGGCAGAACTGGACAGTACCAGAATTTCAGGATACGCCGAACACTTCGATGTTTACACATTTCAGCGGACGAGAGGAACATTCGCCGTTCAATCCATTCACTCCGAAACCTACACCCAAGCCTCGGACTAAATTCAGCAGAACACCTGTTGCACCAGCAAACACTCCGGTGACCACGAGATCAATAATTGAGGGTACACTCAGCGCCGAGTCCAGCGACTGCACGCCGGCTACGGTTGAGGAGAAAAAGACATGCACACCGTCATCAGTGAGTGTGGATCAACCAGCTGAAGGTGCCAAAGAAGAGTTGGGGGAAGGCAAGGCTGCGCCTGCCGTTAAGGTGCGCCAGGAGGTGAAGACGAAGCGGCCGAACATCACACCAGACCGGTTTAACGGGAAAACTCCATGGCGTGATTTCCTGCAACACTTCGAGGCGTGGATACTAGCGAACGATTGGTCAGACGGACAGGCGAAGATTTTTCTGGCAGCAAGTTTGCAAGGGATTGCAGTCAAGGTGCTAGGGAGTCAACAGGCTGGAGGGAAAGATGTGAGTTACAGTCAACTCGTGCGCCTTCTGGAGGAGCGTTTTGGGCCAGGCCAGCTGGCGGAGAACCACCTGGTGGAGTTGCGCCACAGGCGGCAAGGTGCAAAAGAGACGCTTCAGGAACTAGGGCAGGCGATTCGAGAACTGTCGGGACTAGCTTACCCTGAGCTGACAGACGAAGGGAGAGACAGATTGGCGAGGGGACATTTTTCGACGCCTTAGAGGATCAATCGACCGTCGAGGGGATCTTTCGCGCAAGGCCAAGAACCTTGGAAGAAGCAATTCAAGCAGCAATTGCCACTGAGGGATTTCTCAAGGTTGAAGAGCAGAGGACGGGACGGATTAAGCCGAAGTACGCAAGAGTGCTTGGTGACGAGTGTGAGCCTTTGTTGCTGAAGTATCAAGCTGATATTGTAGAGAAGCAGAGGGGAATGGAAGAAGCCATTTTTGAAATCCGGAAAGAGATGAAGGTGCTGATGGAGCACATAGCTAGGGGCGGAAAAGGGGCTACGAAGCAGGGGCGGCCAATAAATGGACGCGCTACTTATTAACGAGTAAGGCGAAAACCTGCACCAGGCGACATCTGCTTTAGGTGTAGAGAACAGGGGCACGTCGCCAGAAACTGTAGGCGCCCATATGCAGAGACGACTAAGAAGTCGGGAAACAAATCGCAGCTTACCCCACGGCCCGGGGGCAAACTGGAGACAAATCTTAAGGGGCGAGGTAAAAGGACAAAAGCAGAAACGGATAAATCGCCTACTGTAGAGTTGTTGCATTGGGAACGGCTGATGCGCGCAATTCGTGGAGAAAGGCGCAGGAGGCCGATTCAACTATGAGTTGGATTATCACGGCAAAGACAGGCGAAAATCCAAAACCAGAGTGGTCTGCAATGACAACCATTGCACCTGCGGTAAAGAAGTACTGGTTGTTGTGGGACCAGTTGGAGATAAAGGAGGAACTTCTTTGCAAAAGATGGGAGTCGGATGATTGCAGGCAAGTGGAGTACCAGGTTATCGTGCCTCAACTGCATCAGAAGGAGGTAATAAAGGAGCTACACTGGACGTTAACCTAGTGGGGATGATTTATACCTGTACAGGGAACTCGCTGACCAACACCTGTCAAGGCCTAGAGATGATTTGCAGTCTGCCTGAGTAGATTATAATAAAGGAATGTTCAACTAAAGAGAAGAGTCCTGTGTTTGATTTAGAGGTGCCCCGTTTCCCTTCCCCTGCCCTGTTCCCGTGTGTGCTGGCGCGAGAGCTGCTGGCGTAAGACCCGCCCGCGAATAAAGTTGTTCCCCTGCTGCGCCTGGCGGTAGACTGCCCCAAAACGGGCCTGCTCCCTTGGCCTTCTCAGAATTGACCGCTCGTTGACGTCGGCCGAGGACGACTCGGGATTGCTGTCGGCACGACCGCCACAATACCTATTGCCCCCCCCCCCATCCTAAACCTGGAACAGCTGCAAGAAATTGTTTACCATTGGAATCCATTCTGAAAAACATGCCGAAAACCTCATACAATTACATATAATTTATTCTAAAATGTAAACTAGATTCAAAACACTACCGTCTTCCAAAATTGTTCATGTTTTCACAACCTTCATACTGCCAGAAAAAAATGGGAATTGAAAGAGAAACGAACACGGTAATAGTGAAACTAGAGCTAGACAACTCAGAGTGCACACCATTAAACATTTTAATTAATTAAAATAGTTCATTTTAGTCAATGCTTCGATTGAATTAATAACTCTCTCAATCGTCTTGTCCCTCAATTCAGTCTGGTGGAGTAAATTTACATTTGAGTAAAGTAATATTTCACTCTTGGCCAAAGTGCAGTACCGCGATGGTCATTACCCATAACTCATTTCGACTCTTGTTTTTATTTACCCGTTGACTGTCATTTTGAACTCTTGCATGTTGTAGTTCTGGTTCGTTACCTGGACGGCAATCATCGTACGGATCGTCCAGCGGAAAAGCTTGTTCTTAAAACAATAGATGATTGGGTTGAGGCAACAGTTGCAGGCCGTCATTTTGGTTCCGATGACATTAACAGGTCCCTTGTCTTCCAAATTGATCCAACCAATGTTGAACATGAAGAAAGTGACCTGGCTGGGAGTCCAACAAACAATGAATGTCACAAAGACAATGACCAGACTTTCGAACATGTCCCTTCTTACCCTGAGAAGCTGATGCTGCTGATGCATCTGCTCCGCCCGACCCACCTCTGATGTCGTTATATGGTCCTGGTCAACGATGGTAGTTTTCAGGGACATGAGTTTTGTTTGACGCTTCAGCGTCCTTGCGATGCGTATGTAACAGAAGAGCAAAATCACGGTCGGAAGGAAGAACTGGAGGCAGATATAAGCGGGCCCATTACCTTGGAGGATTGGAAGTTTCGGAAGACACACGTATGGCCGTCGACGACGCTGTAAAGGAAGAACGAGTAGGATTTGATGAACGTAACAAGCAGCTACATGATTGCTATCGTTGCTGCTACTCCCTTGCGGGAGTGAATCAGCCGAAAGCGGAGGCGTTTAACGATGTTGATGTACCTGCCCAGAGTCAAGGCGAGGAGGTTGTAGGTGGACGCGACGAAGAGCAGAAAGAGGGTGACATCCCCGATCCACACACGGCACAGCAGCTCACCGCCGAACGTCTGTGGTACCTGGGCGGGGACGGGGATGTTCCGCTGCAGAAGCAGCAGCAGCGAGCCCAGAAAGTCGATGATGGCTGGATGACAGATAATCGCTATGGATGATGTGTGCATGAAGGGGACTCGCAAGATAACCTTGATGATAAGACCATACCCCAAGACACCTACCACGCCAATGATATATTGCACAGATGCGGAATATCAGTGAGATACCAGCAATGATCTACAAGACACTATGTTGTTGATAAATCTGAACTTTACTTTTCAACAGATCTATCTAAAGATGTATGATCAATTATTATGCATTAATTTGAAGTTCGCAGTGCAAGCTTACATTCTATAATAAGTTGTCATACGCATTAGATTATGTTATATAGGCTACCTGCAACCTGCAAAATAAACTACAAAAGGGTCAGTAAGCTCGTTTTATGAATTAAAAAGACAAAATAATACGTTGTTGAGAGAGAGATAATTCCTACTTGGAACCATCCGGTAATCTGTTTTGATGAGGGTTTGCAAATAAGTGGGTCATTTCTATTTTGTTTAAGTAGTTGCAAACAGCGAATTTGCTGTATGTAATTACCCTGCATTTCTACTTTTTACAGCCATCCGTGTGGTGGTATGCAAACAATCACGTGCATTTCTGCCCCTCCGGTCCATTTAGTGATCCGAAATATATGGCTGCGTTCGATTACCTGACACGTGTGTTCACGATTATAATGTCCGCTTGGTCAATTACGTCCGACAACAGATTTTGACGAGCAATGGCCGATTATGTCCGACCCATTATGTCCGACAGCCGATTATGTCCGACCAATTGTGTCCGACGGCCGATTATGTCCTACCCATTGTGTCCGACGGCCGATTATGTCCGACCCATTGTGTCCGACGGCCGATTATGTCCGACCCATTAAGTCCGACAACGATTATGTCCGACCCATTATGTCCAACGGCCGATTATGTCCTACCCATTGTGTCCGACGGCCGATTATGTCCGACCTATTGTGACGGACGGCCGATTATGTCCGACCCATTATGACGGACGGCGATTATGTTCGATCCAATGTGTCCGACGGCCGATTATGTCCGACCCATTGTGTCCGACTGCCGATTATTTCCGACCCATTGTGTCCGACGGCCGATTATGTCCGACCGATTATTTTCGACCTATTGTCCGACGGCCGATTATGCCCGACCCATTATGTCCGACGACGATTATGTCTGACCCATTGTGTCCGACGATGAGATACGTCAGACCTATGCTGTATTTATATGGTCGATTACGCCGGATTCATTCGGTTGTGTAGGCTACTGACATTAATAAATTATCTTTGGGTTGTGACTGCAATGAGTGCGTAAAATTA